TATTGCGAATATCGCAAAACGGCACAGGACTTTCTTGCTCACCTCAATCCGTTCTAAGTTCTCACCAAGGGTCATCATGGAGGTTCGGGACACCCTGTATATGATGTAGTTTTACAGAACATTACAAAAAATTACATTGCTGTTACAATACAAATTTCTTAGAATTCTCAAAAAAATATACGTCACATTCTCTGAGAACAATTATTCGATCAATTTAAGCTTGCGAAAGTACTTACACTTTTGAAGTATGCTGTGGTGAAGTTTCCGCCTTCGATGGCGAGATCTCCTAGTAACCGTTTTTGATTCGCCTTCTTCAGAATATTTTCTTCCACAGTCTTTTCACTGACTAATCTGAAATGCGAACAATTACGATGTACTTGTCATCACGCTTTCATGATTATTTTCGAAAATTTCTACATACTTTCTTACAAATTATTATTTCTTCTCGTTGATATTAATCAATATACATACCTATAAATATGCACATCCCGCGTTTGTCCTATTCTGTGACATCTATCTTGTGCTTGGGCATCCATTGTAGGGTTCCAGTCACTGTCGTAGAATATTACCGTGTCCGCTCCCGTCAGATTTACGCCGACACCACCAGATCTCGTCGACAAGATGAAGCAGAATATCCGCTTATCGCCGTTGAATCGCTCCATCAAAACCTGCATGTCAAATTGTGATTATCCATTAATTATTTGTCATTTTTTTAATCTTACCCATCTCATTCACGGAGGTAAGAATGAATTTTGCTCGAATCAAATTTTTACCTGACGTTGATCCACTCGTGTGGTGCCGTCTAGCCGTAGATAAATATGACCGTGGAAATTGAGAAAAGCTTCTAGCACGTCCAACATTCTAGTCATCTGTGTAAATATGAGAACCCGATGATTCTCAGACTTGAGCTTCCTCAGTAGACGGTCCAACGACTGTAATTTACCGCAGTCGTACTGGATCAATCTCGGATCAGGGAACTGCGTTAGCATACGACTTGTCATCGAATGGAGCAGGGCGAATTTCGGTGACAGTTGATGCTGTAATTCCATTCGTAGACGACGTTCGCTCCACAACTTGTATGGTGGCGGGTGGGACACATGGAATCGAGGTACCGGCGCGCGTACCGCCGGCACGTGGACCACAAATCTGCATAAATGTCGAAAAATAAATGTGATTATAATTCATCGTTAATTTCATTAATTTTAATAGAAAGGTGTCGTTAAAACATGCACTTTTTATTCGTCTATTTAAGTTATTCGTTCTATTTAAGTTTTAGAAATAAAAGACACGACAATCACAAATCAAATGAACACGACGAGACTAAGTAAAAGAAAGACAAAAGATGCGAATTAGTTGAAATAATAACCTTTCAAAGACTTCCTTAAGCTCCTCGACGATCCGCTCTGTGGACTTGATAGCCTCCGCAAGTGCCTCTGTGCGAGAGAAGAACTCTCGGCGAGTCCGTGCGCTTTGCTTGACCGTAGTACAGTGCATCCAGCCATTGTGCCAAGGACAAGCCGTAGCGGGTTTGCCTATTCTTAACGCCATGAACAGGTCTTCACCGTAAAGAGGACATGCCGCGCATCTCCGTTCGTTGATGTTTGCTATGAGTCCTAACTTAGCCTGCCGTCTTTGCCGTCTGTCTTCTTCCAATTGTGGCTGAAAAATAATGAATACGTCAAAAAAAAAAAAAAAAAAAAAAACCAGGAGAAATATTATCTAAAGTGCGTGTCTTTATTGCTTCGATCTCATAATATTCACAAAGTTGACAAAATATAATTTTTCATTTAATTATATAAACGATTAATTGTATGATTTGTATAATTTTTTCATGATTTTTGCGTAATTAATTGTATTTTATTTGTTTTAGAGATATGACTATATATTACCAAGTGGAACTCAGACTTGGGCTGTTCTTTGCTCTGTGTCTTATTGGCTTCTTTCTGAGCCTGTCTAGTCACGATACTACGTATCGGCTGCGGTTGTTGACTGCCATTTCCACTCGACGACTGTGTCTGCGGAGTATGACTAACGTTCAGAGGCGGTACCCTCATGACAGGTCGACCGCTTGTAGTAGTCACCACACTGCCGACAACTTTGTTCACAGCAGTTCCTGACGAGGACAGGCCCATCAAGGATTTGGACAATACCGTAAGCCGTGGCCCACTTGGTGTCATTACTGGAAACGAAACTGACAGTACAAAAGGTGTTACTCTTTTTTATCTTCTAATTTATCACTAACAGCAGTTCTCACGACACCACGAGATATAGTTAGGACAATGCCGCAAAGACACACCTGCATTCGTGTTCTGCTGATTCGACGTTAGAATGATATGTCTACCGGTGGAGGTTTGAACCAACTGTGCGAAACTGGGCATCGCTATCCTCTGGACGGAATCGCCTTGTTTGACCGTGACGGTTTGAGCGGTCAGTCGCTGCAAGCCATCTCTGATGTTGGCGTTTCCCACTGCGATCCTTTGCGCGTTCGTCGCCGCGGTGGTCGACGTCACAGTGGTAGTGCTTTGCGGATTGTGTGCCAACGTTGCCACTGGAATAGCTGTCACAAGAACAATAATCATCGTTAATATTGACAGATTCACTTATGTTTAAATTAATTTTGAATATTACATTAAAATTTGGTTGTATGTACAGTATATTTCATGAGAAAAAAAATATATATTTCATGATTTTTTCGTTTTATAAAGCTAAGTTGGATAAATTGTTCTCTCGCGTACAAGAATTCAGAGAATCGTTATGAATTTTTTGTGCCCTTAGTTCTAGAATGCTTATAAACGGTAAGATTATAAACAAGCTGGCCCAAGGGTCAATTATTCTAGCACCACTGCAAAAATGACTGCATAATGACAATTGTTTACAACAGCCACTGATTAATGATGCATAATAAACTTCATATATGTATAATTATTGGTCAATATGTATGATATAAAAAATGTGATGGCAACAAATACAAATGTCCCATCGATAGGTTCCGAGATTGATCCTAACAGAACAATCTTAAAGTTATTTTTAACCTAGAAAAAAGTTGCTTACCTTTCACACTACCCTGATGCTGTACAAGTTGCACGGAATAGCCTTGCAATTGTTGGCCCCCAGCGACTCTGAGCGTTACTCCTAAAAGTAACAGTCATTGTATCTCGCATTTAAGACGATCAAGTTGAGAATTAAAAAGAATAGAATTTCGACATTTTTATAGCAGAATTATTATCGTTATCATTATTTCTAACACTATCTTATTATTCACGTTTGCGATGTTCACAAAGCAATAGCGGCAGCAATTTAGCCACAAAGTGTGAACGAAAAAGATAAAGTTACTAGAATGATAATTAAACATAGAAACTATGCTAAAATAGGAAATATAAAACATAAAAATACATAGACAAAAAATTATACATAAGAACAGTCGGTTCGTCTTGAGCAACATTCTAGAAAATTTAATTTATGCAACAAGATTCTGCATTATTGCAAAATTAATTAAAATTCAAATATTGAACTGAAAAGAAAAAAACTTACCTTGTCCTGTACCAGTCTGACTGGCATTTAACGATTTTACGAAGGGCGACGTACCCACTCTTGGCGTGGGTAATACACCGGCCAAATTCTTTAGTTTGGTCTGCGTGTGTTGTTGCATAGCCGACGGTTTCGCCTGATTTGACAATCTAACGTTAATTTTAATTCGGCCCGATGGACAACGTGGCGCCGGTTCTGGTTGGCTATCTATTTCCTCTATAAGTTTTCTCGGCGTTTGTAATCGTCTCACTCTGTGCGCAACAAATGCACAGAGCGTCAGTTCCAAATCTAACAGTAAAAGGTTCACGCTAGACAGATCGATGTGCTGCAAAATCAAACATTTGCAAGAAGTCGGGTGACAGCTGGCACTTGAGAGCTTCTCAATATTAAATTCGAGACACCGGCGTGAAAACACGGCGTGCTTCGTTATATTTTTTTTTCTCTTTTGGTACCTTGAAAGGATCGTAGTCGAGGACAGCCCACACTAATGAGGCGGTAACAAACTCGAGCGCCTCCATCTGAAACGGTGAGACGGTGGGTCGTACCTCGAACAAGTTCGGATGATTGCACACTTTCCGTAGTTGCATCAGTACGTTAATCACACTCAGAAGATTTCCGCTGGCGAGCGTTTCTCTGGTCCTTTAATAAAATAAGTAAATTAATAATGGTGAGTTTTAATATAATGATTGAACAGTACATATATAACATTAATAATAAAATAAAAATAACTGAACAATGAATGCATAAATAAGAGTCTGGTTACGTATGAAATTGTGACAATTATAAACGAGATACTTTAAGTGCAAAAAAAAAAAGAGGAAATACATAACTACAGAAAATAAAAAAAATGTAATATATAAAATAAAAAAAGGAAATACAGATAAAAAAAAGAAAGGTCGTTTCGAACATTTTGTTTCATATTTTCACTATTGAAAAAAGATCACTTACTTGGCTCTCGACATAAAGTCATCGTACAAAAATCTCTGACGTTTTGACAAACGACACATCACTACGTGCTCATATTTCTTCGGCAATTGCTTCTCCACTTCAGTTTTTAAACGTCTCAAAAGAAACGGCCGTAACACCTGTAGAAAATATTATTAATTAGTACATTACTCGTACAAAAATTTCAGTTATTATACATAATACACTATATTTTAGCCTTTTTCGCCCATTAGTGTTCTTGGATAAAATATTAGACATCAAACAAATGAAATAATCACTTCAGTATTATTAAATTATTAAATTATTTCTCCACACAGGAAACGTATGTCAGATGTTGATCGATTATTGACACGCGAGTTTTTATGGAGAATTTTACTATCCCGCTGTTTAATTATAATACAGACATCGTCATTTTGAACTAATGTCTGTAGTCGGCAGCGAGTAATATCACTATTTGACTAATATTTTTCTGTTCATTTTAATTATATTATGTTACACTTTTTATCTTCCGTAAATTTAATAGAACATCAAAGATCAAGTAAAAAAAATAAGAATTGAAAAAAGTATCGACTATTCAGCTAAAAAAAATATACTAAACATTAACTTAAATGAACATAAAAATAAAGTCTTTTTTTAAATGGAAAGAAGAAAAAGAAACAAAGTGTAAAAAAACTACGTACAGACCTTATGCAGACGACGAATAATATTCTCGTTGTATTCACTGTTTCCCTCGATCATACCCGTAACGGGATTACTGAACCACTCCTTGAATTCTCGATGAGACTGAAACACGTTAGGCATGAGAAAGTGCATAAGCGACCACAGCTCCATTAAATTGTTCTGAAGAGGTGTGCCAGTAAGAAGTAGCCTCCTGCAATGCAAGTACAAACAAAAGTAATGAACAGCAACATTCAAAACAATGGTAGGATTAGCAGCTCGATAAAAGATCTAACAAATTTACCGTTGCGTTTGAAAATTTAACAACAATTGCCATCTTTGCGACTTAAAGTTTTTAATATTCTGCGCCTCGTCCAAGATAAGGTACTTCCATTTCTTCCGTCTAAAACTTTGGTGATCTTGTATGACTAACTTGTAAGACGTTATGCATATATGGAAAGCATTCGGTTTTGTCCAGCCTACAAACATAGAATTAACGTGTGAAAGAAACCATGTTCTGCACGTTAATTCTTTGAACGATATATTAATCTGTACGTAAAAGAAAAATTCGCGTTTGTAAAGATTGAAGTTTATGTTAACACATATATAACAATTTATAGAAAAGATCAATTAATTGGGGAGATTTGATATAATTAAATAAATAATACTTAGTACTTAGAGAAATAAGAATATAAAAATTTTTTTAAGTATCATATCATTACCTGTTCTTTTTTGTTTTCTCTCCTTCTGTGTGCCGTAATACGTCAGTATTTTGAATCCGGGACACCATTTTTTGCATTCCATTTCCCAATTTAGCATCACGGAAGTCGGAACGATGATAAGATGTGGTCCCCAATTTCCTTTTTCACAGGCCAAGTGCGCTAATAACGCAATAGTCTGTATGGTTTTACCTAGACCCATCTCGTCTGCCAGAATACCGTTCAGCTTTCTATCATACATGGTAACGAGCCAGTCCAATCCTATATGTTGATACTCGCGAAGCAAATGTTTCAGCAAAAAAGGTATTTTGGTGACAACCTGAAACGTACGATATTAAAAATCATTTTTAATTAACATATTTCAAATAACGCTTTATTCAAAGTTGCTGTAGAAGAATGAGATACATAATATTGTAAACACGAATGTGAAGATACATAATAATTAAAATCAATATTTTTATAGTGATTATTTTCTAGAATAATATAGGTATGTTTATTCGTGAGAAAACTATCACCTTTAATCTACCTTTCGGAAATAGTGATAAATAAGAGAACTATTGCATCACTTTGGATCGAAAGGATTATTTGTACTAATCATTAGTTAATCGATATTATGATATAGAATGCAACTGAAATAGAGACGAAAAATTTCAAAAGCATCCCCTTACATATCTGAAATCAGTTTTTCTTTATGAAGATTATCAAAATAATCAACAGAATATTAAGATAATAATTTATATGGATGACTGAAAACGAAGCGCTTCATGAGAACTAAACTTTAAAAAACTTGGTTTCAGTAAAATTATATCTCGAGCTTAATTGTAAAATAACATTATGAAATAAATATTCAAAGAAATTTTCGACAAAATAACATCGATATTAAAAATTTGCTAATAGACACATCTTTATCTCTTTACACTCTGCTTAACATTTAATTTTTTAAACAATAAAATACAGACAAAAAACTTACACTGGTTGTAAGTAACGTGTTTCCTTTAGGCTGGATACTCTCGGCTAATGCGGCAACATTATCCATTTCATTATGAGCGTCCGAATGATCAGCTTCCGCAGCCTGTAACAAAAAGAAATAATATGGTAATAAAATAATATGTGATATGTAAATTATCTATTATTTTGAAGCAACAGATAAAAAGATAATTTATTATAAAGACGAGGAAAAAAGCAACTGTAACTTAAATACAATTATAAGCGATATAATATTCTTATACTATATAACGGTATAATAATCTTCAATAAGAAAAAATCTACTCAGAATCAGTCGCAAAAAGTGCACCTAAAATAAAATAGTTTGTGTATAGAAAAGACTGGTAACTCACTTTGTTCTCAGACTGTTGTTCTCCGGATGGGTCTTCGAGAAGAGATCGAAGACCTACGTCTGCTTCTTCGGCGTCGCTTTGAGTCTGAGCAGCTTCATCGCCGCTTTCGTTATCACTCTCCTCGCATTCGCTTTCACTACTGCTGGATTGCTCCTCATTCTCCCTTGCAGTTTCCTTATCACTGTTCTCTTTATCTGTACCTGAGTAAAACGAGAAATAACATCCTATTAAATCAATAGTACAGACAGTTTTGTCGTTTCCTCGGCAATGAAAGTTTGCAAAATTTTCTCAGACAAATGCCTCTATTTACAGCATAAAGTGGCAGTTGAAATAAGTGAGAACCACTTATTTCATACCATCAGAATTGGTAATAATATCATCATTGATAACTTATGCCAACGAGCTGACATAACAAAAAGTAAAACATTAATTATAGTAATTTTATGTAAAATAAAATTCTATGAATGTAATCAAGAACAAACCTTCATTCTCTGCGTCAACGTCTATCAACTCCTCAGACATATTGGCATATTTGGCTGCGAGTTCGTCGATAGACATTTCGTTGTCAGCCTAAAAAAAATACAAGGACAATTTTTATTTAGATTCGAAACAAACGATGTACAATATCAGTTCCATATCTTGATATTGAAGTAGAAAAAGACCTTGAGCTCATCAAGTTCTCGTTTATGATCGACATCTCCTTCAAGTCTCTCTTCCTCCATGATGGTGTCTTCTTCGTCAGAGGATTCACCCGATAGTGCGATGAAATCGACATCCCCATCAGTCGCTTCCTCGTTTTCCTACAACAAAGATTATCATTTAGATTAATCTTCTCGGTTACGAATTAATAACGTCTAAAAATTATAATAGTCGCTCGAGTAATGGAACTGAAGAATTTACAATTTATAAAAGATATTAGAAGCAATTAAATTCAACTGTTTTAGTGTATATACATATATTAAGGAACATACATTTCGTTCCGCCTCGTTCGTTGCGTCTCGCGGCGACAAGCTCTTGTTGCGATCTTCCAGATAATCTCCTCCAAGTTCCCTCAGGAGATCTTCTAAAGGTATTTCCGATTCTCTTTTCAATAATTCCACTTCCTCTTTATGATTGGTAATCAATTTCATCTCTTCCTCAGCCTTGGCTATAGTTTCCTCGTCATCATCCGAACTCTGATTTGGTTGGAATTCCTCTGTAATGTAACGTGTACGATCTAGTTAAAGTAACTTTTACGGTGCAATATACGGTTTCAGTAAGACGATTTACGCAAACAGCACAAGATGATTAATTCAATGAATTCAAATTAAATTAATTTAAAGAATGTATAACATACCGTCGGAATGACCTTTTCCTTGCGGCACCGGCGATGAAATTCGTGAACTATTTATGGAAGCCGGAATACTTTGAGGACCATCGGTCTTATTAAGACCTTCTGTCAACCACGTGGAATACTTCTCCGTTTGACCAACGATAAAATTCAAATGTTGGTCCAACGCTTTCTTCCGCTTTTCCTCTAACCTCGTTTGCTGCTTGTACTCCACCAGCTGTGAGCAAAACAACAGATATTAGAGGAGTTGCATTAGAGTAACATAAAAAGTATATTAAATCATATCATTAGCGGAAACTCTAATATTTCTCAATCACAAAAACATTCATGTTTTCATGTTGTTATTTATATACAAATATACTACTCAACAAAAAAATAATTTAGTAAATAGTAAGTGTCCTGCGCGAAATCTTTAGTTGAGTTTAGGAAACAAAACAACTATACACAATGCGCAGACTTTGCTGTTCCCACAACGAGCACACGCTTCCGATTATGAACGTCGAGAAGGTCGGCTTATTTGTGTGGGGTATACTATTTTACTTTATCATGTACAAAACATTATTATCAAAGTCCGAAAATATTTTTTGAATTATATAAGTTTTGAACTTAAAAATAAAGTTTTTTATTAAAAAATAATAATAAAATGTTTCATTAAAAATAAAATTTTTTTCTCAAAAACATATTGATATATAATGTATAAATTTCCAAGATCAGCAAAATGTAATTACACATAAAAATTTAGCTTTTGCTACTTTTCCGCTTACCTTTTCAACATTTGCCCAAAAGGTTTTTATTTCCTTGGCGACGAAGCTGGCGATTTTCTTCAGTCTGAGCTCCTGCGATTTTTCCGCTTTTTGCGCTTGAATCGCTTTCTCCTGGAAATATTTCTGTACCATGCGCGCGCACTTCTTCGCCGCGGCTTTCTTCCACTTGCGTTCTTGGGCAAAATCTGCAGCCAACCAGACCATCTCCTCCAATAGATAGTCCCAGTGTGCCTTAGTACGTGCTGGTTCTTGCACCTTAGGTAACCGCCGTTCCGACCATAACCCTTCGCGTTGCAATTCGGCAATTCTTTGCATCACATATGCCTCCTGCATGACAAGTAAAGGATTAGAAAGAAAAGAAGTAATTTTATTTGATCCATACTAGAAATTTCGAATCTATATATCTTTTCTACAATTTAATAAATTACATTTATATCTAAATAAATAAATAAAACTTGCTCTTAATAGCTAAACGGTCCAATTAAATAAATAAAAGAAAATAATTTGTTTAATAGTTAAAGAAGAACTTATATCACATAAAAACTTCAGTTGTAAAGAATTCGTTAATTACCTGCTTAGCCTTCTCCACAATTTGTTCCTGATTATTTGTGATATCACAGGATGTAGTTACCGCAGTGGACGTAGACAACTTGATGAGCTTGACGATGGGTTGCGGGCTATTGAGCGCGGTTATCGTCGCAGGCGTCTTCGGAGTGGTCGCGACGACGGCCATCGGCGACGATTTCTCCACCGCAGGACTCGCAGCAGTGACCGTAGTTACAGATTTTGACGAATCTGTCACTAATGGCGTGCCACCTATAACAATAACATCGATATTAGGCTTCCTCTTCGATGATTTAGTAAACAAAGCGATACGCAGCGATAATTTGTACGGTAGCGCCCTTAGGTTTATTAGTATAATACTACTAAACAACCTTACATATGCTCCCAAAATAATATTTCCATCGATAACAAACCGTCTCAAAATAATCAAGCCAGTTATTATTGATGGATATCTACGAGAATGAATCTAAAAAAAATACGGACGAATAATGGCAATAACTACTAAAGCGAAAACAACGTGAAATAAAAACATCACCCGAGAGAAAAGCGTCGACTGAAATGAGAAATGGCCATAAGTACATGGAAAACGTAAATGAGAACAGTTTTCAACATGCGAAACAGCCAATTATATTTAAGAATTATGAAAAATATGAAATTTTCTTGGTGAAATTTTAGGCTGTGACTAATCGATTCGCTTACTAATTCAAATTTTCTTGGTGTTATAGCATAGAAAAAGGAGTGTGTAAGACAAACAGTAAATAAATCAGCTAATCACACTCGAAAATTATAAAAAACTTGAGAGAGATACTATTATGTTAAGATTCTCAATTGTGACTGATTGATTTGCTTGCTGCCTAAATTTTACTTTTTACACACTTTTTGTGTACCACGGTCATAAGTCAACTGTTTCATTCACATCTGAGGATACAATACATAACACGATGAATATAACGATGGCGAGGGATAAATGTATATCTCACCACGTTTCAAGTGGAAACATGCGTAAAAGATACATACGGGAAGGAATGAATATATATGTATGTATGTATATATATATATATATATATATATATATATATATGTATGTATGTATGTATGTATGTATGTATGTATGTATGTATATACATACATATATATATGTATATGTATATATATGTATGTATATATATATGTATATATATATGTATATGTATATATATGTATATGTATACGTATATGTGTATATATATATATATATATATATATATATATATATATATATATATATATATATATATATCGCGTACAACATTTAATACGTGAACATAAAAGAGGAGCTCGAATACAATCCGCCGAGTTCCCCTACGTGTTCCACACGAGGAACTCCGACAGACTGTTCTGAAAAGCACGCCGAGAGACACTAACGGCTTTAAAAGACACGGAAACAATCGACAGGCAGGCAGTCAGTTAGGCAGACGAGGCAACCTGCGGTGGTAATCACCTATAATGAGCGTGGGTGCTAGAGTAGTAGAAGCGGATGACGAGTGAACGGTGGCCGGTGAAGACTGGTGAATTGCCGCTCGGAAGGCAAACACCATGCCATGGCGGCCACCTTGAGGCCTACCCGGTATTTGTCCTGTGTATGTGCGCGCAGACGGTTATTTATTTGCCGTGTTCAAGCCAGATTTCAACTTACGATAATAATTATTAGGTCGTGAACGTGAATTAAAGCGTTGGCATTGTACCACAATACAATTGTAATGACAGCTATATTTAGCAAGTTTAAAGTAATATCTAGTGATCTTTAATGTAATTTAAATCACACGTATTCTCCTCTTTATGTTACTATTTTTTGCACACAATTTATAATTTATATAATTTCTACGTGTTTATCTGCACAAGGAGGCAGAATTATACGAATGTCTGGTCTTAATCCATCATCTGTATTTATTATAGCGATGAAAGATACGAAATGCAAAATTACGCGATGATGTAAGTGGAGAACGCAACAGCTGGGTTAACAACAACAACCAACCGATTGACGTCGAAAAGAAAGGGCAAAACAACGAAGTGGGTTGAATGAAAATGTGAATATTGAACTTACCGTGCTGATTAAGTTGCGCCACTGCGGCGGGCAAGGTAGTGGACACCGCTACCGGTGTAACACCCACGCCGGAGATCTTGACCTCCGCAGGACTCTGATTTGGAATAGGAATTACGTTGGAGATAGACGTGGCAGTAGTCATGACGGTGGTGCTGGTAACTGTGGTTGTGGTAGCGGTGACGACGGCTGCGGCGGTGGTGGTCGTAGTGGCGGTGGTAGTAGTGCTGGTGGCGGTAACGGTGGCGGTGATGGCGGTGGTGTTAGCCGGCGACAGTTGCGGCAATTCCGACGGTAACGGCACGGTCAAGTCCTCGTCGTCGTCTTCCGGGTCGAGACGATGCTGCCGCAGAAAGTGCAGGTACTGCGACGTGGGCGGCCGCTTACGCCAGGTCATGTAATCCATCATGTTACCGCCGGCGTGCAAGAAGAATAATTCGGCTACGTTCTCGCTGTATTTCTCGCGTAGTGTGTGCATCCGCCGCCTCTTGTGCTCAAACACCCGCCTCCGCAAGCCGCCGAAGTCCTCGCCGGTGAGCGGCTTCTCGCTCGATTCCAACATTTTCAGCCGTTTTCTCACCGGCGACGACGACGGCACCACCTGCGACGATGACGATGACGCAGCCTGCGATGACGACGACGACGATGCCTGTGACGACGTCATAGGCGCTACGAACACGTTGCCTATGGAGGTACGCACAAGCTTCGGCGACGTCGCCAACACAACCTTGGTGGAATTTTGCCGGGCGGGCGATGGATGCGGCGACGATGCGCCCACGACGTTGACGCTAGCCGGCATCGCGCCACCCACCGCTGTTGCGGCGTTGCGCGACTGGGTGTTCGCGATACTGACGATCCTCGTGACTCCGACTTGTTGCGCGTTTGCGTTAGTCGTCGAGTTGTTTGAGATAACCTGCGAATGGAAATTGAGAAAGATTAAGTCGGAGTTGGTCATGTTCACAAGTTCGCTATTAGATCCCAGATAGATTTTCATGATTATCACCACATGAGAGACAATCGACGAAATTTTATGAATTCCTTTAATTACACTTATGAATGTAAGTATATTGTGTATTGAATTAATTATTAAATTTAGATCTTATATATAAATATATATAACAATGTAAATTTTTCATTGTATTGATGCAACAATAAATTTACTAAAAGTTACACTCAGATCTTCGTATTATATTTAACATGATGTTATTTTGAGCTGATTTAGATAATTTTTCTTATATTTCTATTTTTTCATTCTATGTGATAATTATGATTGCAATCAGTCATAAGGGACTCGACGTTACTAAATTTCGTAATTTAATATACTTAAAGTTGCTGTAAAGTTTACGTACATCAGTCTATCGATGATGTTACCAAAATCAGGACATATTTGAACTAAGAACCAAGCAAATTCGTCCCTATGTCACACTTTAGAATTGGCAACAAATGTAACTGAATGAAATGATTTGAATGAAACCGATTACGAGGAAACTTGTGATTTGCTGCTTGATCATTGTTGGCTGGCTCACAAGTTCCTTGACAACAGTCAAAATAAGGCTAAAAACAATAGTTGGGCAATGTTGAGAATGGTCAGTCAACAATGTAACAGATAGCAAAGGGCAATGAAGAAAAAGAAATGTATGCAGATGACGACTCACCTGTGTGAGGCCAGGAACCTGAGTCGTAATGACAAACTGTTGCCCGCTTCCACTAGCGAGCACATTGAGGCCTTGAGCAGTGGCGAGAACCTGATGCAAACTGACAGTCTGTTGAGATGCACCCCCATTACTCGCACCTCCATTGTTGCTTGCACCCCGGCTGAGGGGTGGCAAGATAGGTGTACTTTGCTTATCGCTCATTGCATGTTATGCTAAAAGGATAAAACAACAAAACACTGTAAAGCACAGCACAAATAGAAAATCACACGTTGAATATTATAGTTTTACAATAACATGTTCTAAGCATTTCCTGTAACCTTAATTGAGAAAACAATATCTAATGAACGAAGAAATTTAAGATATAGTTAATCATCGAGTACAGATACGCTACTGTATGGTGACTCGTGCGTAAATGAGGAAAAATTCAAATTTCGACGACGACAATAATAACAACAGCAGCAGCAGCACGACGTGAGTAGGCCTTACTCTCGCTTCGTGAGAGAAGCATCGATCGCCCGTAAATGTGAATCGAGAAAGGGAGAGAGAAAGGGAGAGAGAGGCGATCGTCGAATTTGGCGAAGGCGATGCGCGCGGCCTTGTAAAAGGGCAGGCATTGCGCAGAACGCGACGTATATATAAGCGAAATTCGGCGTTGTACGCGACGACGAGGTGTCGGGGATCGCGTGTGTCAGGAAAAGAGGGGATGTCATCACGAGTGTCAAGAAATTCCTAGCTCGACAAACGGATTATCCGAACCTCGTGCGATCTCGTGCAGTCGTGTGTCGTGCACGGCGAAGATGCGCGGCGAGAAGCACGTTCTCGCCTCGACGAATAACTTCCTCGAGACGAGAACCGGTATCACAGTGGCAGTCGTGGTGATCGGCGCCGGCGAAGATACGATGAAACGACCTCGTCGACGACGCTCGGCGTCGATGGACAAGAAAGCCGTGACGCGACACACGAGACGACGCGACGCGATGCAATACGACGCGGCGTGGCGCGAAGCGGAGTGGTGCGGTGAGGTGCGGCGCGGCGTGATACAAAGGAAATTTTTCGTCCGCCATGTTGGCGTTGCATCGTTGCGAGAGGGCGGACTTACCACAAAGTAATCACAAATTTCCACGGCGTAGACGTGCCATCCGTGATAATAATCGTCACACCCGTGATCCGCGTGGGCCAACTCGCAATTGGGTACCTCACGTAACACACGACGAATGAGATATATCTAATATTTTACGATACATCGTCACACCGCACGGCCAAGGACGTGTACACACTCCTAAACATGGCGACGGCTCCGAGACAAATTTCGTGGCGAGTCTCTCTCTCTCCGGCCAGCCGGAGCTTCGCGTCGCTCGCGCATAGATAGCGTTGTTGTGCAGCGGCCGCGCCTGCCCGATTGGTCAGCGACTGCCGCTGCGCGCGGCAACGTGGCAGCGCCGGTTGCGCACGATTGGTCGACACGCGCGAACGTTCGAATACATTGCCGAGTTCACACGAGTCGACCGGGCCGAGGCCCCCGGGCTCGACGAGGGAGCTCGGCCGAGCGACGATTAAATCTCGCCGATTGTCTTCTCCGCGAATATTCCGCGTCCTGCTGGGCCTTTGTTTTATTCGCCGTTTTCGTCTCATTCGCGTCCGCCTGTCGCTCTCGCTTTGGAAACAAAATTCAGATGAGTCGAGAAAGGAATTATAGCAAGAAAAAGACCGATCTTCATATATATATATATACACATACATGCACACACACGTATATATATATATATATATATATATATATATATATATATATGTATGTATATTCAGAGCATGAAAAACTAGCTATTTTCAACGGGTCTCGCACAAGCATCCGGTATCCAACGGGAGAATTTATTTTTAGCGATTCTCGGAAAATACATTTTTCTATTAGATATCCATTGAATGCATTCCTTGTGTGAATAGATCCCTTTCTTCCTTTTAGACTAACAGAGGATTCACAATACGTCCAATGTCTCATGTATAACGTGTATAGGAAATAAAGAAAAGCTGTAGACTCTCCCTTCATCTTGACAAGTTTCGTAATGCGTTCGATATTCATTAGAAAAATATGTCTAGTGAAAATCACTAAAAAATTAATTCTATTGGATTCCAAATGTGTCGCAAAATCCATGCCTTTTTGCTTTCGATTACACACTAAACTCGCAATTCTCGAGACGCTTTAAAATATTCTGGAGTGTGACGTCATTAATACGTGACACTAAACTACAATATTGAAACGTGACTTCCTATGTAATAACAGTTGTGAGAACTCGTATCGCAAAAGAGAAGGAACTACCCGTGTGGGATGACTATCTCTTTCTTTCGTGTAGGCTGCCGATATTTCGTAGAATGGCCATTGAAAGTGTAATTCGTGTAATTGGATTGACGATTTTTGTCGCTAAGCTACGTAGCTCAGCAAGTTCTACTAGTGAAAAAACATCAATTTACGGTAATTTATGATCGTCGAGGTGCTGCTTATATCTTATTGATCAAGTTACTTTATGGAATATCAGATAAGCTTCGTTATTGAATTGCATACGAGAGAAAGATAATCATCCCGACGAAATTCCCTTTCTCTCGATTCACTTTTCAAGTATTAGGATGTGCTCCAATGTATTATAATTTAGAAGGCTTATTCTGTAACTTCTAACGAACGTTATTATCACATAAGTATAATAAATGGTAAAAAAGCTACGTAACGACGAAATAACGGTAACAATTAAAAGTTATCGAGTTACAGAACAGGCCCCTTAATATATACATGTGTATCTTTCTACATCCCTTCCTGGCTTCCGAATTATTTTCTAATTTTTTTTTTTACACGTGGCATAAAAAGTTTGCTCCGAAGAACTTCCCAAACGAGTGTACACCGGTGCAATATGTTAGAGTGAAATAAAATATACTTGTTTCATCCCAACTCATTGCACTAGACACTAGTTCAGCAAGTTCTTCAAAAAAGAACACATAGATCCTGTAAAACGCGCGTGTACCTACTTTAAGTACAGATAGTGTAATTTTGTGCAGATATAAAGAACAGACTTCTAGATGCACAATAAATGCTCCGAAACCCATAAAGCGACAAGTGGATCGCATCACTAATCAATATCTGCACCATAAATTTATACATACATATAAAACGTAAATTTTGTCGCAACACAAGATGCGAGATCTTTCTTTTATCTCAAACGGTAGATAGGTTAAAGTGCAAGAGATCACAGTAGAAGACGGAGCAGAGCTCAGCGCCTTTCATCTGCTGGCCACGTGGCACATTTTACGTCTCCTCTTTACCGCGAGACTTCGTCTTCGGTCTTTGTCTCGACATCGCGCGCGATCAAAAAAAAATGCTCCTTCGACTTACCTGACTCTCGGCGGATCATATCGTTGCCATTGTCGTCGTCGTCGTTCTCGCCATCGTCGGCAGCGCTCGACAGCGAATCCGCTGTTGCCGGCAGCGAACGTCGCGCCCGTTGTCGTCTCTCGCGCGTCGTTGACCCATCCAAGGCGCGCACGTGCGTCTCCCGCCCGAGAGACACGGTGCCGTGGTGCTGTGGGCCGGCATTTTTGCGCCCCGCGGTCGATCGTCATCTCGGGGCCTCGCGCACGTCTTCGCCAGACGAGGAAGCACAATAGAACGCGCGAAGATCGCGCGCTGCGCACTCTCTGATCAACGATCAGATCGGTGCGCACCACAACGACTGCGACGGACGACATCGGAGGCGCAAGGCCGAGTGCAATGTGAGGAATCGCGCGCGCACGTTACGTGCACAACGCTACCGCCATCATTGCCGCGAAGGATAAATTTAAAAAAACGGAAAAGCGTCTGCTCGCCCTCGTATTTCGCCGTTCTCGTCGAGTGTTCCTCGGATATTCGAGGCGCGTATTGCAAACATTGCCAACCGGCATGTTATAAAGCGAAAATATCAATTTGATCGAGGGAAACAATTGATACAACAAATCGTGCAATTTCTTTCTCTCGCGTTCTCTCAACATCTTGTTGGTGAATTTTCCTTCTAATCGTTATCTCTTAATTTTCTCGTGAGTTAATGTCGCGTGAAAAACATGATTCGATATTTTTAGTAGTTCATATGAGCGATCGTGACATTATTTTACTTTCCATTCAGAATTCAAGACAGAATTCAACTTGTCATTTGTGAATTAAAAGATGGTGAAGCTGAATATGAGTGTTCATCCCAGTTTATCTGAGACGGTGACAGAGAGTTTGAGACGAAGAAATGTGGTTACCACCGTCGATTTCATCACAACGGACTCGGTTGAATTAGCGATATCCACCAGTCTTTCGTATACGGTATGAAATAAATGTCTTGAAAAGGATTAAAAACATATGTTTACTGAACGACTATTCGATTTAACCACTATTTTATTATGCATATTTAAAATGATATTTAAGATAACAATTTGATTGAAGGTGATATTGATATCTACAGGAAATATTGCAAATGAAGCAACATATATTGAAGGAATATGGATACACAAAGAAAAATGCATTCGAACTTCTTATAGCAGAGAAAAATGATATGATACCAACTGGTGTGATATGGTATGTTCTATGCAAATTGATTTTACATAATTAAAAGTATCAAATGTTTACAGTGAAAAATATTGCAATATTTGACTAATCAACAGAAAGAAAATCATGTAGAAAAATAATGATTTCTATAATCTAACGTTTGCTTCTTGGTCAGACAGCTTGGACGAATTGCTAAAAGGTGGCTTATGTCCTGGATATTTGTATGAGCTGTGTGGCTCATCATCTTCTGGGAAGACTCAATTGTGCTTGACAATAGTTGCTAATGCTATCACCACTCAATCAGATATCATTGCTTGGTACTTCGATACAAAGAGAGATTTCTCCAGATTGAGATTCGAAGAGATACTAAGAGCAAGAAACTTTGGACAAGAGGTAATTATAGATATTATAAAGTAAAAATTAATTAGTAAAAGCATCAATCAGTGTTCTTTGACTTGAGTCAAGGCTTTGACACTTGACAATAATATATACTGAAATATGAATGAAAGAGAATATGTGTTAAAAATTAAAAAAGATTTTTTGTTTTTTATTCTAGGTCATAAAAGAAGCATTGCAACGCACGAAAGTTTGCCGTGTGAATTCGTTCAATGAATTAATACAAGATCTACGGCAATTATTATCTCTTTACAAAACAGAACAGTATTCACTAAAAAAAAAGAGGTTTCTTGTGATCATCGACTCTTTACCAGCAATTATCTTTAAGGTATATTTCAACTGAAATAGTTGATTATTTTAATTAACGATTATACGGTACTGAATGTTCTTATTTTCTGTTAAATTAAATAGAAAAAAAATAAACATTAAATATATCAATTTTGGCGTGTAGATATATATATATATATATATATATATATATATATATATATATATATATATATATATATATAT